AAAAAATGCAAAAGCACACTCTTGCAGCGTACTTTTTTTAAAATCAGCAAGTTTTGTATTCCCAAATCAAGCGTGATTGCAATTGCGTTCACTCCGACCTTTTCCAACATGCAGCAAGAGTTGGACTTGTTCAAGTGGTAAGTCCCTTCACAAGATCTCAGGGAATCTATAAATGCCCAGGTTCCCACTTCATTCCCCAGCTAAGCACGAGCAAGCCACACAAGGCCGCTTCTTGGTGATCTTCTCGGCTGCTGCATCCACCGAGACTCCCATCATGAGTGCATAGATCAAGGCCGTGCAAGCGGGGGCTCGATGTTTACCCGCCATGCAATGCACCAACACGGAATCACCGCAGTGCAGGCTCTGATGAATGATAGGCCACGCGGCCCGAAACTCGTGATCCATGCGCTTGCTGCCCATCTGAACTTTCATGATACATGCCTGTGGCAATGTCACACCGCCCCGACCCTCGGGGTGTTGTGGCAGGCAGGCGATCTGAAGATGGGTCTTGGGATAGTACTGCACTGTCTCTGCAATGGGAATGCCCGCTAGCCATAGCTGTCCACCTGACCTTGATCAGGGTGGGAGCCAGGGTATCACGCCCCTCAGACGTGGCTAGACGATCCCAATGAGTAGGACCTGGCGAGACAGCAGGGATGGGCAGTGTACTCGGGGCCGATGGCGCTGACTGTGGACCCTGGCGAGAGGGGGTGGCGAGGGCTCTCTGGGCCCTTTCTTGGCCGAAGTGGCAATCAAAGCCGGCGGGGCCGCTTTGTGTGGTGGTGCCTTCGGTGGAGTGACAGCCATGCACTGTTGATGTCCCCTCCTTGAGAGGTATTCTGTTTCCAGAAATGCATGATCCACTGGGTTGCTGCTGCACTTTGGAACAGGCCAGCTGGGCTTGGCGAAGGCCAAGTTTGGCGAGGCTGCATTAGGTCCTGGATCTTCTGGGGCAAAGTGTGTGTGGAAGCTTTCATCATCTTGGTCACAGCTTCCTGCCTGCGCCTTTGGGCCTGCATTTGCACCTTCCTGGCTGCTGACACTTTGACCTCATCGATGCTCCTGGAAGAGAGGGCAGTGCTGGTCAGGACATGCTGCATGATGGTTGTGTTGGTGAATGTGGACATCCTTTGCTGACTGGTGGGCAGCAGGAACTTCAGGCCGAGCACTCGGCTGGGGCGAATCTTCTCGCCTGCGCTTGACACTCACAGTGGGCTTAGCCTTGGACTGTGTGGAGGTCGTAGCCGATGTTGAAGACGCTCGAACTGGAACCGGCGTCGCTGCGGCCAAATACTTCTTCTCCGTGCAAACGAATGCCCCGTGACTGCCTCCACAAGCCCGACCCCGGGCCAAAAGGACGGCGCACATGTGAGCATTGCCGCAGACCTCTTCCCCCTCGTCGCAACCCGAGGGCATCTGAAAGGCCCCGCAAAGGCGGCGACCATTCTTCAGGAAGGCCGTCAGCACGCGGCCACGGATGGCATCCGGCATGGACACCGCCGGGCGTGGCCGACACGGCCGCAACAGGAGATGGGTCTTCAGCGACTGGGCGGCATACAGCGAATAGTGAAGCGCCATCCCGGCATCAGCCGGTTCCTTTGACCGGTCTTGCCAATTGCCCAGGGAGCAAAGGTCTGAGGATGACATGTTCAAAATATGGCCCACAGTTGGAAGCATCCGCCTCCAGGAGTAAGTGGTTAACTGTTCAGGGTTGTCCAAAAACTCGGCGAAGATCGAGTGGCACAGGTGCTGCACCTCAGCGATGTTCCAAGGCGTCCCACGCCTATCAAAGCAAATGCCAAAGCTCTCCTGGGCCACAGGTGAAAGGGCCTTCCATTCTTTGACCCACTCGGAGGTCCAGTTGAACCCGGAGGCAAACTCGGCTGGGGCGCACCAATCAAAACCACCTCGGGCGTGACGTTGCTTGCCCTTGCGACAATGGCCATGAAACACCATCAAACTGGCTCGACGGATGGTCGACCGACGAAGGTGTTGGTACCTCAAACAACCAGTGGCCACAAGCCAAGACCCGAGAAGGCATGTTCACCGCGGGTCCCCCCCACGGCACATGCTCTCGATGCGCTCCTCCAACAGCTGCAGCATGCCGGGCTCCACAACAAGGGCTTGGCTCTTCGTTGAAGTGGCCTTCTTCTTCAACTCAGGGGAGACGCGAAGCCGTCCAATGTCCCAAGAAGCTCCAGCATGCTTGCACAACCAACGAAGCACATTGAGCGCGCGGGTGGGGGCCATCGTCCCCTGATGCAGGAAGTTGTCCACGTCCACGAAGGCCGGAGGAAAAGATCTCCCTCTGTGGAGCAAAAAGGCGTGGAGCTCACCGTATGTGCGGAGAGCGTTCTGAATCGTCACCGGCTCAGACTCCGCAACCTTGGTTTGCGCCAAGCGAAGGGCGGAAGCCTGCCAAGCTTCAGGACCTCAGTCAGCAGCCCATCGGGCTTCAATGCACCCACGGTCAGGAACACCTTCTGTAGAGCCAGGACCTGGCGCTGGATCGACTCGGGCTGATTCTGCACCCGCTCGTGGAGGCGTACCCCCGCCTCAAGTGGAGCTTCCTTCCTCTTCCGAGCGAGCGGAGGACGTGTCTATCCGGCGCCGGAGGTCCCCCTTCGATCAACCGAGCGGCCGCGGGCAGGAGCTCCTCCTGCTGAGCGACCCGGACTGCAAGCCAAGCATCCGCCAAGAAATGGCCTCCCACGGCCACAGCTTCCTCCCATGTGGAGAAGGCAAATGCAAAGTCTTCGTCCTTCTCATAGCCCCGCTCACGCCGCCATGTGATGGCGCGAGCTCCTGCAACACGGGCCAAGCTGTCTTCAGCCCGCCAGCCTACCGAAGAAGCAGGATCATCCACTGGAGCCTCCACGGCTTCAGCAACCTGCGCACGGTATGCCATGGCTTGCGCACCCACGGAATTACCCACTATCGTCATCAGACGACGAAAGTTCGCGGCAGGCCGGACAGATTTGGAGCACTGGGAAACAGGCGGCGCACACTCCCTTGATACAACCAAGGCACTGCCGATAAGTGGGATCACCACAGCCGCAACATGCCGGAGGAAACTCTGTCTCTCCGTTGATTGAGGACCCCAACCATCCACGAAGGGCTCGATGGGCACGAATCTTCGGGCGAAGGGCGTCCAAATTCGCGGCAGGTGCTCGATGTCTGGCAGTGGGGCACGAAAGGGGTTGGACCACAACCCATGTGGTGATCCCAAGGTCCAGCGCCGCATGTAATAGAGGACTTCGGATTGAAAGGTCTGCAGGGGCAAGAGGTCCAAGTCCCCGGGAACTTTTTGCATAAACTCCCATAAGTAGGATGGCACAAAATTGTCTGCAGAATACGGGGTACGGTAGGGCTGCAACAAAAGGAGGTCCATCGAGGCGTCCAACCTGGCATGCCTATCCCAGGCCTGCTGAGGAGTGAACCCAGATGGAACGATGGTCCCGCGACGGTTCCAAATCCCGACCCACGGGAAGGCGTAGCCCCCCTCGCCCCTGGTCGCAACGTGGGCGCACGCTCTTGGGAAAGACAGAAATCCGCATAGATGGGAAACCGGCTGGCCCGTCCCCCGGGCGCGTAGACGGAGGCATGTGTTCAAAGAGAACCACCGAGCCCCAAAGCCGCAGTGCGCCTGCCCGCTCCCCCCACACCAGAAGAGCGTCGACCTGGCGACGGAACTCGATGAACGCGGCGGACGAAAGCACCTCAGCGCCCGTGAACATGGCAACATGCACACCGACGATATGCTGGGAAGCCATCCACAGCAACCACAGCAAAACTTAAGCAGAACAGAAACTCCACTGTCCCACTTTTGGCTTGAGCCAAAATGGACAGTGTAACAAATGTAATGAATACTGTGCACCCAAACCTGCCCAAAGCTCGACACAGTTTTAACTTACTCGGTAGCCACCGTGAGAGTGCGCAAGCGACCACTTATATACATGAGAGCTCAGAGACCAGGCATCCAAGCAGTGTGATGAAGTCTGTATCTGGGTTCCTGTGATGACATGGCTGCGCATCAGTGTGGCAAATACCTCCAGACCTGTTCGTGAGGCGCCCTTGAGTGCACAAATTGGTACGCAAACGTTGCTTTTATGGGTTGTTGCGCGCGCCCAAGAACGCTTTTTCAGGAGTAGTGGGCCTACCTCCATCCAAAAGAAGGGCAACCCTCGCGCGCACAGAAAGCCGTGGCCTGCCCAAGCGGTTCAGGCGCTGGGTCTGAAGAAGATTGATTTTCTGCAGTCTTCACACATCGCTGGGGGTTCCAGTTTCACCCAACCAAGATCATGACAAGAAGCCAAGCCGCAAAACCCGTTAGCTTTGAGGTCTTCCTATCAAAGTACAGGTCCAAACCCTTTGCCAAAGCATCTTCGACACCAGGCCATACAGAGTGGTCATAAGGCCAGAAACCTTTTGCGTGTGGAGCAGGAACCTTTCCACCTTGTCTTCTAAACCAACTTTTTGCACTTTTCGTTAACGCATACTACAGCACTACGTGTTTGGAACATAGATGGGAGTCGAACAAAGGCTCGCAACTTACAAACTGAGTTGCACGATAATATAAGGCGTGCCAGAGGAGCGGTGTCTCGTCTGAAAAGTACAACTCGGTCGGTCTGCCAGCCTGAAAGACACGGGTTGGCTCTTTCATTTGAATGAACTCATCTGGCACATCACCCTCCTTGTATAAGTTTCAAGCTGGTACGGGGAACAGCAAGCTCCTTCAACAAGAGCCTGGCAGAAAATCAGCAGACGATCAAAGTTCAATAAACGCGCATCGCAAACGCAAATAACGATTTCCAACACGGGTCAAGGCTACCTTTCTCCCTGTGTCCACCGCAGGTCTGTCAACAACAACGATTGAGAAGTCACCTTCCGGGCAGCACCGAGCACCATTCATCAATGCAATCGCTGAGTACAAACTCTGACAAACTCTCATTTCAGTTGACTTTTTAGCGCCTTCTCTTCCAGTGCCCAAGCATCGTTGGCAGATGGCAGCACATCTAAGTCTACATCAAACCCCATCGCCTCAGCGTGCATAGACAATAAGCAAGCTCACAAAGTGTACTTATGCTGTCGCTCAGTTTCAACCGCCACCGGATCCCGAATCCAAAACAAGTAGAGCTGAGCTAGACAAGTGAATGTATTTGCGTCAGAGGAGAGCTTCTGTGAGCCAGTGACCAACGCCTGTTTCGAAAGTCACAGCCTTCCAGAGTCCCAGAGCTTGGCTCCAGGGTTCAGTGATCGTGCGTTTCAGACAAAATGGTGCGACCAGGGTCCGAGACCGGCTTTACGAGGAGCAAGAGAAGAGAGCCCCAAGGGCTGGTGGCAACACCATTTCACAGTTGCTTGCGATGATATGGTTGCGTTACACGTTGCAACAGATCGCTGACTTTGTCTCCAAGGCATAAAAGCGCTATCGCACGGCGGCCATGGCTTGCAGGCAATTCTATGGTTTGCTTAGTTTGCTCCGGTGAGGCCCTCACCTTGGCCCCGATCAACTCACAGTAGAAGATCAGAAAATTGTGGGCAAGATTTTCTCTGATTGCAACTTCAGAAGCACCGTTACTCGCTGATCCGTCCTGCGAACGGCGGAGTTGTGCTTGATGAGAATTCCACCGGGCAGCATGTTCAGCCTGGGCCATTACCGAGGACTCTGCTCTCTGAAGGCAACGTTTGCTTGGGATCGCGCTTAGCAACTGGCCATGTTCTTCAGAAGTTTGCAGCTATCGACTTGGACAACGTTGCGAAAGCCAATCCTATCTTTTGGCAGAACTTAAGACATGAACTCAACCAGCATTCTACGGTCGATGACAAATGGAAGATGTTCAATGATTTTATTTTGCTGCTTATACTCAGTGGGGGCGTACTTTGCCCAACTTTAAGAAGGCGCAAATGGCTGCCCCACAGGCAGCACCTCAGTTGCTGCTTTTACAAGCTCGTCTTCGATCGTTGCAAGAACTTGAGTTCCACAGTTCCACATTCGTCGTGTTTTTCGGGGCTCGGAGATTCTCGGACATTTTGGAACACCCAGCATGGGGCACCTGGTGAATATCCAAGGCAAGCCTTACGTGAAAGATGCCAAAAGATTTCACTGCCTCCTGCGACGTCTTTTCAGCTGCGGGAACAAGCCCAGAAAATAGAACCGGGCGCTGCAGCAGAATCGATGGCTGGCAACTCGCGAAGCGCAAGCATTACCTCCAGAATCGTTTGCGCAAGGTGGCGGATCTTTTCAACCCAAAACGAAGCAGGCACGCTGGCATTCCCCATCTTGACACCAGTGCGCATGGTACTTTCGAAGCGGCTGATTTGTTTTCAATCAATTCTTACGTTGCTTTCCACACGCCTCCGCTTTGCTCAGCTTCAGGCCTGGCAGCAATCCATTACGCCATGGCAACTTAAGGGCGGCGTGAAGAACAGGCAAATGAATGAAGTGCATTCAAAAGCCGATTGATCACGCACACACCTTTTGTGGGACTTAAATTGGACAAGTCAAACTGTTTCGACAAACTAACCCACTATATTGGTTCGCGCTTTCCTTGCTTTGCGCGCAAGGATGACTAGCTTTGCAATGGACACGACCTTGGCCAATCTCTACACCCAATGGAGTTGCATAAGTGCGTCCCCTTAGCCTTTTGGGCATCAATCTCCACGTGGCAATCTGGGCCTGGGCGATTTTGCCTCGACACGGCAGCTACGGGCCGATTTGAAGGGCGCCTTTTCAAATACGAAGATGATAGAGGTTGTCAACAACATCCTTGGCGCTCAAATTCAGACAACCAAGAAGCGCGCAGTCCAACTTCCTTTGGGAAATGTTCAATCGGCCTTGCGTGAGTGCACCGCAATTACATCTGCCCTGTCACAGCACTAAGCGCGCAAAGTCTTGCAACGAAAGTGGCACCGCAAATTGCATTTGCGCCCCAACTGAACTTTAAACCCAAGAAGCGTTTGGAAGAGTTGTAGACTCACTCTGGCAAGAGCGCTCACGTTGGCGATCTAATTCACAAAGCCTAGAGGCTCCTGCGTCGCTCTCTCATCATCACGATTGCACCGTTCCATATACTTGAGATCTTCTGCCTACGCTCGACGAATTTGACAACAACTGTTTGTTCAAGACAAACTGACGGCGCAGTCCCTGACGACTATGTTTTCCCAGGCTTGCCTCGTTTTGGGCCTCTTGAATGCGCAGTTTTCGACGTTCCAGCGTTTGGGTTCCTGAACTTCGCTATCACCGATCTTCTCTGCGTTTGAAAATTTGGCTGCACATAAATGCTTGTGACAGCAGGCAATACACCGAGAAAGCATTTTCATCCACCAAGAAGGTTTTTGAACAATACTTCGACTTTGTCTGCACTGCATGCTCTCCGAATGCAGCCGTTCCCAACCCCGGCTTCTCTTGCGCTTTGCATTGGGAATCAGCGGCGGCGGGCTGCACTTTAACTGATACATGTACTTGCAGGGTTCTGCGCTGGATCCAAGAAGTCCGTTCCTCCATTTGCACTTGAACGCACTGCCCTTCCCGTGGACCTCCGGCCCCCCACTTCGCCATCTTACTTTGGGCTAAATTTCAGCGCGCTTGGAACTGCTGAGATTCCCGCTTCTACGCATCCATGGCTCTCGTGAGCCAGCAAAAACATGGGCAGCACTGGCCGCTTTCACTTCCTCCTACAAGCCATTGATCATCCATACGATTCTCTGACACTTGCACGTCAATTTGAATGTCTTCTTGACACAATCCAAGTTGATATTGGAACGCACATGCAAATTGGTGGAATTCCTTCTTCACTTAATGCAGCGACGGAAGTCATTCAACGATGTTCGCTGCTTCTCTTGCGGCGCCGATCGCACAAACTGGAACACTTAAGCCTTCCAAGGTCATTGACGCTTTGGCTGAAAGCGTTAATCCACAGAACAGGACATCCTACTGAATATACAGGCTTGCTGGCCAACACGCTAAAGGTCTCACATTGCCCTTGAAGCCAAACGAGTTGGATCAGAAAAAGGGAAACATTATTTGCCAACAACTTTGGCTTGCCAAAGTCAACCAGTTCAGTTCTGCAAGCCGCCAGTTCAGAGCGCTCCAGCGACGAAGTCGTTGAAAATGGAACAGTCTTCCCTCGCGCGCCACAATACATTGACAGTCGGGAACTTCCGCCAAGTCTTGGCCTTCTCCAACACGCCTTCTGCAACATGCTCAAACGGCGACTTGGCGACTTGGGAAGGCCTTGCGCGTTAAGTTTTTGAGCTTGCCGGGCTTGCCTTTCACAAAGGCATTCGTTTTGACTTGGATGCTGGGACCATCACGCGACTCCCAACGCATACGCCAAGATCCTTCGCGATGGTTTTGCGTACTGTATGACTGTAAGACCAGAGGTCGCTGCACCTTTGCGTTTTGATTTTAAAGATGTTTCCCAGGGGAATCCTTCCCGGAGCCGAGGTGTTTCTTGACAATTCCCTTCTTGATCGTATCTGTTTCGCCTTTTGTAAAGGAGCGAGACTGACACTCCTGCTTCCTGGTGTATTCCCTTCGATCGTTCGTCATGAGCTTGGTCAATTTCGACCTTTTGATGCGGAAGCTCACTGGTTGCCGACGACCCTGTGATTGAAAATAAGAAAGGTAGGGCTCCTTAAAACGTCGTTAAAACACGCGTCATATCTTCTTTTTCGCTCTCTTTCTTGAGCTCTTTGGGAGCAAAATCTCGCTCGTTCTGAGTGATGGGCCCCGATGTGCTCTTTAATGCCGAAGCACAAATCGCTGACAGTAATCCTGAGATTTGGAGGCATTTATTGCGAAAACAAACTGTTGAAGTTCGCTTGCACAAGGAGCGCGCTATCAAACAGCACCCTTTTCATCGCACGTGGAAGGGTTCCCACAAGCCAAGCGCTTGGGCTGACTTTCAGGTAGTGCCTCTGGCAAGCGGCGGTGCAAAATCACAACTGACTCAAGCTTTGGAACACTGAAAGACATTTGAAAAAGAAGCAACCATTTTCTCATGTTTGACTGCTTAGGAGACCTGACCCCGAACCTTCGCCCATTTTCACCAGCTCTCGCTAACCAAGCACAACGGGCCACATCTTTTGCAGCGGACGGCGCACATCAGGGTTGAAGAGCAAGCGTGGAGGCAGACGCGCGCACGAGGCTGACCCCGCCCGCCCGCCCACCCGAAACTTCTCAAGACATAACCTTTACAGAGGCTGGAGTGAAAGGCGATCGTCGCAGGGATCACTGGTTTTGGGCGAATCTTGAGGGGCGAGACGAACTAGGTACAAGAAATGTTCGTATGTAGGGCAGGATAACAGAAGAGACAGACAGGGACAATCTTTTCTCTTGCAGAGACAGACAAGCAGACAAACACAGACGGGCGAACAGACAGACAAAGACAGAGACAGACGCCTCAAGCTTTCACACAGTGCACCGACGCAATTAGTTGGGGGAGCGCTCGCGACGTCAGAAAACCTAGAGACCAACAGAAGCTTTTAAGGAGACCAGCATCAAGTCTTAATATAGAGGCGCGTAAAACATTAGACATTAAGGGCCCGCCGGAAGGAAGTGACACTTTGGATGATTTTGCGGCCAATGCCTGCGCGTATTGCCATGCCTTTGCATGCGTTGGCGAAAATTCAGGAGTGGCCCCGCTTATGGCAGTCAGGTCGTAGCATTCACTGGGATGGACAAGAAAGCTTTGGTCATTTACAGGGGCGCGGCCCATTGCCCATAAAGTGATCCCAGGAACGCCCCAATACTATGGCGATCTGTGACCTGAGCCGCGTTCCTGCGTCCATGTTCTTTTCTTCCGGCCCAATTCCTGCCGTGATTTGAGCGCATTGGGTTCAATGTGAAACATGGCACTCCATTTACATTGTCTCCATGTATTGCTGTCTTGCTCTCTTTTCTATGAGTTGCTTTTGGCGCCATGTTTTGGTTGACTTGCCTTCGAAAAAACATTACGCTACGCAGCTACTCGGACCTTTTTGCCCTGAGCCACAACGCTACGCGGTGAGAACTGGCACTGCTCTGAATCCTCTTTCCTCTCCACTGCGGTTTCTGGTATCCTGCTCCGTCTCTTTCCCCTTGCCCTCCCACCGCCTTTCCCACAAGCGCCACGCTCACCTGATTTTCTAAGATACCCCCGTCCCTCCTCACCTCTTCTCCACTCTCCACCTTCCCCTCCCCACCTTGGCACGACGATTGGGACGACAAAGATGACCTTCTTCTTTCTGATTTCAAAGACAACGAGAAACTTCGACCCAGCTGGAAATACATTGCTGGACGCATCTACACCAACCCGGACGCCTCAGCGCCTGAGAGCTCCAATTTATAGCCACTTTCCTGCCCTTCATTGACGCGTCGCCCCGCAGCTGAAAACTTCTTTCCACGTCCTTCACCGTTTCACGCTTTCTACATTGAGGCGGCATCGATTGCACTTTGCACCATTTCATCTCTCGCCTATTTCCCACCAACCTGATTTCCATCTTTCGAGTTTGATTGTTGGGTTCGAATCTCCGTCCTATCCGGTTCTTGCCGGACTCCTGATGCCTACCTCGCCGACTGCCATCTCCTGCACGGGAAGAACCATATACCTTGACTACAACGCCGACCACACCTTTGCCGGCGACCATGCCTATTTCTTTCTTGACACCTCACACGACACCGCCCACACCTCCACCTACCGCCACACTGGGCGCCACTACCTCGCGATCTACTTTGACTCTCAGTACTGATGACTGACGTTGAGATCGTCTCAACCTCCTTTCCCAAGCAAGCTCGTCCAACGTCGCCACCATCTACATTAAACTCTACGTCGACTACATCCACTAATCCCTCCGCCCCGCTTTACGGCTGGTTCCCCTTGCAACCCAATTACTGGCAAACTTGTCAATTTAGTTTCTTGATTCCTCATCCTTCGTCGCCGCTACGCCTTCGACCACCCCTGATTGACTAGTTTTGCTCCAAGCAGGTTTCACCTTTCTCTCTCACCTGTAGGTTTCACTCGAACTCCCGGCTCCGTCCCGCAGTTACCTGTCCTCACCATTTCACCTTCACTGTACCTCCTCCTCTGCAGATCCTTTGGCCCCGACTCTCCGCATCTTCGCATCTTTGCCCTCGATTCGCTCTCATATACCCGCGCGCTCTTCATCCCCATCGGACAGCGAGGCCGGGATGACTGCGGCGCCACGATCCTGCCCTTCCTCGTGTCTCCAACCAGCACAATGCCGGTTGGAACGAATGGTACCACAGTGAAAATTCTAGCGTGCCCCTCATGCTTTTGAGGAATGGAAACGCCGCTCCATCGGCGAGGCTCGTCATTGGTTCTATCGCAGCTGGACGCACACTTCGACGGTTCGTTCTGATGCTGACATCTTAAACCTGTACACCGACAGTCACCGACATGCAGGAATTCTACACCGCACAGATGGCAGTTGCTTCTCCCGGCCATGACTACATGTATGAGCTCTTTGATCGCTATGAGGAACAATTGGCTGCCCAGGCCCACTCCACCTCTCCATGTCAGCATGGACACAAACGACTTATCCGCGGACATTTTACAGCAGCAGTCTTTTGACAATTTCTTGGCTCAGGCTCTTCAGCGGCTGTATGACTTTGACATCGTAGACAGCCCCGAGCTGAAACACATGCAACCCGCTGAACGTCGTGGTCCAGGCGATGGTTGATCAATTTCAATCCTACAGCCAAGACCTGAACACCGCGCTTGCGGCACCTCCGAGCACTGCCGTGGCTTCTTCGGCAGCACCTCCTGCTGTGGAATCGATGCCTCTCCCACTTCATCAGGCTCTGCCTCAATGTCAACGTCATGGCCATCCGCTACCAGCAGTGAGGGTCGCATGAATGTAATTCAAAGGCTGAAAGCCGGGGGTAGGACTGTCGTTCTTCATAAACTGGTCGATGAAGAGGATCGGGCGTGCGGAGACCCGTGGTAGCAATCGCGTCGTCGAGGCAAGGGGGTGCGGGAAAGAGTCATACTCGATCCGGCATCGCTGAGGGCAATGAAGAGGTAAAAAGGAATTCCAAAACATGGTGGGAGGGGGAGTGGGAATCATATCTGCGGGAAAAGAGACAAAGTAAAAGGGAGCGTGGACGAAAGAAGAGGAAGAAGAAAACGAAAGTGAGATAGGAAAGGGTAACACGGCGAATTGCGCAAAACCTGTTTCCGCAGCGCTGCAGAATCGAAAGCGGGAAGATATTGAAATGGTGAAAAGTTAAAAATTGGTAGCGCTGCCGACTTGGATGAGAAGGGCTACACCATTGATGATTTGAAAGATGTCATCTACTCCCACGTTGGCGTTCGACGCTCTCTCTTTTGGATGGCTTCCTTCCTCGGGAGACTCTCGGGCCCTCACACTTTCTCCTTGATGACTTTTGGTGATGCATTTTGTAAATGTCCGTCGTGTTCGACCCATCGGCTATATTGATGAACACCCTCGTCGCCACCACACTCGACCCTCTCGATCACGCGATGATGCCATTGGTCAACTTCGCCTTCCACAGACCGCTTATCCCAAACAGACCGAGCTTTTCACTGACCTCTCGTTACTCCGCCCAGGGCCACCTCCCCTTGTGGGAAGCGCGTGCGTGAAACCTTTGGAGTCACAGGGGCACACGGCATCCATGGTCCGTGACCCACCGTGCGCAACGAAGCTACGGTCATGGATAAAAAGGGAAGGCTGATCACCTTCCTGTATCTGCCTCGTACTTGAGAACTTCCGAATTCGTCCCGTTGTACCTGGAACAAGCTGACCAGCCGTCGCATCCGTTCCATCACTGCAGTCACGCACTTTACCTTTGAGCTTTGGACCTGAATCTTGACCTTTGGTGTTTACATTTTGGTGCTTTGGGGCTACATTACTTACCTTTTTCCGGAACTCTTAGCGTTCATGCCTGGGTGGGCGTGTGGCGCGCGGCGTTCAATTTCAGTACGCATTGTCTCGAGTGCGTGTAGCTGCGATGAAGGGGAAAACCAAATGCACAGGGACACGACCTGGAACTTGTTTGCGCGCGTGGAGGCTAAGGGCCGGACCGATGCGAAACGAAAAAGGAAAGAAAGTGTGTGTAAGAGGAAAAGATGAGGGGAAACAAACGAAGCCAAACCTCGTTAACCTAGCAAAACCTAGCGTGCCTTGCGCGCGCGCACCTGAGCATGCCAAAAAGGTGGGCTACTCCAGTCCGCTGTCAACGCCTCTAGTCCTGCTCAATGTCAATATATAATTCATCAAGTCCTACTTGAGCCCTTGCTCAGCAAGGCCACGGAGGGCTCACTCCGCAAATGACTTGCGGTTTGCCACACGCCAACCTGAGTGAAAAACCTAAGAAAACCAGGACAGGTGTAAGTGAGGAGGTCTGACCATCGAGGTTCAGTTTTCCAAGACCTCAAAGATCTTGAAAGTCCAGTTTGACAAGCATGCTCCGACGGACGAGCGCATTAGCCCTTTACTGCGCATCTGCCGACCTCTGAAACCTCACCAGCCTGAGCTCTAGAGTGGGGTGTGATTATTCAACGCCACAAATATCAGCAGGTACACGGGGGCGATCAATCTCCGCTTCCCGCATCGTGGAACAGCTTCGTTGGCACAGGTATCCACAATCGGCCTGATCGGCCTGTGCCCCGCGCTCACGTGATTTAAAAACTAGACGACGGTTGGCCCGAGAGCGAGACATGTAATTGTCCAGCGCTGTCGAAAAGATATATAGAAAGAGAGAAAGAGAGGGTGGATGTGAAGGAGTGACAGTGTGGATGCGCAGGCGCGATA